CAAAGAAGCCGGCAGGGTGGCTTTTCCTGTCGGCGCAGCTCCTCCAAAGCGCCCGTTCACCCCCACCCCGCCGCCCGCGGTTCAATCCGGTGCTCCATTCTGCCTGCCTTCGTTTCTGGTTGTTTCGGAGCAGCTTCGGCTGAGAATAATAACTATTCGCCTCTTTTACTCAGCCAAAGCTACTCCGAAACAACCAGAAACGAAGGCAGGCAGGCAGAACGGAGCACTGGATTGAACCGCGGGCGGCGGGGTGGGGGTGAACGGGCGCTTCGGAGGAGCTGCGCCGACAGGAAAAGCCACCCTGCCGGCTTCTTTGAAGCAGTTTCTTCCTGGGCTGGTGGAGGAGCGAGAGAGTGACTGAGAGAGGAACGAGGCGGGAGGAAACCGAAGCCGCTGAGCCGGAGAGCAGGACAGGCTTTGGCTGCTTCCTCCCTCCCCTTCTTTCATTTGTGTCCTTGATCCCTGATCCCAGCAGCATTCACCGAAGGCGAAGAAAGCCGCCATTTTTATTTTCTTTGCGGCCCGGTACCAAATGATCCACGGACCGGTACCGGTCCGCGGCCCAGTGGTTGGGGACCCCTGCTTTAGAAGACTTACTGTGTGGTACTACAAGGCCCGTTGAGTATAGAAAACTCCTTTCCTGAATCAACATCAAAAGGATCTGGAGAGGGAACATAGAAGACTGTTAAAAGTCCCCACCCATCGACCTACTAGAAAAGTAAAGTAATAACTATTAATTTAAATTCAACATTAAATCCATAAATCCCAAACAAATGATAAACCACCAGCTTTGCTGGCAGAGGGAGAATTTGCCAAATATTTTTCAGGAACAAATCTGAATTTTTCTGCATTAGCTTTGCTAGGGGTGGGGGCCAATATGGCCTTTAAGGCAGGGCTGGAACCCTGCAGTTGATGAACCCTCCCAACTACACTGCTCAAAAAAATAAAGGGAACATTTAAACAACACAATGTAACTCCAAGTCAATCACACTTCTATGAAATCAAACTGTCCACTTAGGTAGCAACACTGATTGACAATCAATTTCACATGCTGTTGTGCAAATGGAATAGACAACAGGTGGAAAGCAGAGGCAGTTAGCAAGACATCCCCAATAAAGGAGCGGTTCTGCAGGCGGTGACCACAGACCACTTCTCAGTTCCTATGCTTTCTGGCTGATGGTTTGGTCACTTCTGAATGCTGGTGGTGCTTTCACTCTAGTGGTAGCATGAGACAGAGTCTACAACCCACACAAGTGGCTCAGGTAGTGCAGCTCATCCAGGATGGCACATCAATGCGAGCTGTGGCAAGAAGGTTTGCTGTGTCTGTCAGCGTAGTGTCCAGAGCATGGAGGCACTACCAGGAGACAGGCCAGTACATCAGGAGACGTGGAGGCCATAGGAGGGCAACAACCCAGCATCAGGACTGTTACCTCCGCCTTTGTGCAAGGAGGGACAGGAGGAGCACTGCCAGAGCCCTGCAAAATGACCTCCAGAGGTCCACAAGTGTGCATGTGGCTGCTCAGTCAGAAACAGACTCCATGAGGGTGGTATGAGGGCCCGACGTCCACAGGTGGGGGTTGTGCTTACAGCCCAACACCGTGCAGGACGTTTGGCATTTGCCAGAGAACACCAAGATTGGCAAATTCGCCACTGGCGCCCTGTGCTCTTCACAGATGAAAGCAGGTTCACACTGGAGAATGTTCTGCTGCCTGCAACATCCTCCAGCATGACCGGTTTGGCAGTGGGTCAGTAATGGGGTGGGGTGGCATTTCTTTAGGGGGCCGCACAGCCCTCCATGTGCTCGCCAGAGGTAGCCTGACTGCCATTAGGTACCGAGATGAGATCGTCAGACCCCTTGTGAAACCATATGCTGGTGCGGTTGGCCCTGGGTCCCTCCTAATGCACGACAATGCTAGACCTCATGTGGTTGGAGTGTGTCAACAGTTCCTGTAAGATGAAGGCATTGATGCTATGGACTGGCCTGCCCGTTCCCCAGACCTGAATCCAATTGAGCACATCTGGGACATCATGTCTCGCTCCATCCACCAACGCCACGTTGCACCACAGACTGTCCAGGAGTTGGGGGATGCTTTAGTCCAGGTGTGGGAGGAGATCCCTCAGGAGACCATCCATCACCTCATCAGAAGCATGCCCAGGCGTTGTAGGGAGGTCATACAGGCACGTGGAGGCCTACTGAGCCTCATTTTGACTTGTTTTAAGGACACTACATCAAAGTTGGAACAGCCTGTATTGTTTTTTTCCACTTTAATTTTGAGTGTAACTCCAAATCCAGACCACCATGGGTTGCTAAATTTGATTTCCATTGATAATTTTTGTGTGATTTTGTTGTCAGCACATTCAACTATGTAATGAACAAAGTATTTAATGAGAATATTTCATTCATTCAGATCGAGGATGTCTTATTTTTGTGTTCCCTTTATTTTTGGGGGCAGTATGTAACAACTTAAAAAAAGACAGAATCTGTCGGCCCTTATTGTAATATATTACTATGAGCTGATGTGATGAGGTTACCCAGCAGGAAGAGAGATGGAGTCAGATACAGGAGTGATGAATGTGCCATTGGGAGATAAATCATCATCAACTTTGTGAGGGCATTTAAGGGGCTCGGGAGAGGCTCCTTCCTGTATTTGGGGATAGTTATACAACATTAATGACATTTATTATGGCTGCTTGATACCACCGAGGAATCTGTTGTTTGTTCACCATTATGATTATTTCTCATGGATAATGGATAAAAGATTTCTTACTTTTTCTCATTACATCAAAATTTCTGGAAATGTTAACCAGAATAAACAAATAATTAAAATAAAAATAATTGAATATATCAATAGTGTTATTATTTGAGGCACAAATGACCAGACTCAAATTGTCGTATTTGGACATATTACGTTCCAAATAACATGACTATTTATCCCCTGTGTATGATTGATTTCTTCCTTTATCTTGAACCAGATATTTAGTTTACTTTAAAACTTGGGTAAAAGCGTCACTAATTCAACCAATTCAATTCCACCCCTTTTTTCAAAGCAGAAAAAAAATAACGTAACTTGGGAAGTCCTACCTGTTTCATCTTTTTCTTGGGCATGGTTCAGAAATTCCTTCTCAACCTTTAACACTTCTTCTTCACAACTACATGCTGCATATTTCTCCAGGAGATCTTTGTTCAGATCAAGAAACACTGTCCCCCATTTAAATTTTTGCAAAAGAATTGTGGCTAGATCAGTGTGTCCTAAAATAAGGAAAATAACTTCAGCAATGATCAAACACCTCAAAGGTAATTTGCATATCTTCTTAGTGAAATATACTTCTCAGTCAAGGTTACTGAAAGAATCTTACATATGAAGCTTTTGAATTTGATATTTTATCTTATCCCTGGGTCAAGGATTGTGCTCTCTGGTAGTCTATGTATGATGGCATTTTATTATATTTCTTTCTACTTTGTATTAGTAACTACCCAGAAATCTTGGGCAGGATCGTAATAAATCAATGCAATAAATAAAAAGAAATGATGCTTGACAGAGCAACTTGTTTTCACTAACATGACAAACAGCTACAAATATGTATTTGTATACATAAATATTCTTCTAATCTGTAAGATAAGGAATAAAAACAATATTTATTGCTGCTCACCTACAATGCAGAGGGTAGCTGCAAAAGCTTCCACACAAGTAAGTTTGCATGGCCGTCCATAATTCACTGGGTTTGCAGCTATCAAGTAGGGTAAGAGCCGGAGATGACTTCCCTTCATCTTGCTAAATGGGGTTTCGTCCAGCTTTGCCCAAGAGCAGTCAATCACCGCAACTCCATTCTGGGTCACAACCTCCCTGAAAATACATCTGCCATTTTATTTTTATTAAATAATTTTTATTAAAGAAATTTTCTTATATACATCATATATACATTATATACATTGCCAACGCTTCCGTGACAGTATATTTTTACATAAATCCTAACTATCTGTACATTTGTTTATATTCCTTAATCAATCTTTGTCCACTATAGCCTTTGCTTTATTGTCCTATTATCATCTGCCATTTTAATATGGGATATTTCTGTTTTGCTGCTTGTCAGGAAATCAGATCAATTTTGCAGTCTACCAGAAGAAGAAACAGGATTGAAAAACTGCCATCCTAGTTATTACTTCACAAAAACAACATTGCAAAAACTCAAATATTTTAAAATCAGTAACACAAATGTTTGGATTCTCTCTCTCTCTCTCTCTGTGGGCAACTCAGAAGGTTTTCAGGAATCTGGAAGAGTCAGTCGATGCCAGGCCCAAAAAGCAGGTGCCGGGACGCCGCGCAGGAGCCTTTGCTTCACGGGGGCAGCCGGCCCGCTTGACGCTTAAAGAAAGCAGCGGCTGCTGCGGGAGGTTTTCGTCGTTGGGCCACCGACCGACCCGCTCCACCGGGCTCCTCTAGCGGACGAAGCCCCCCACGAAGGCCGAGCGGCCAGCGTTGCAGCCGGGGCCCCAGGCAGGGCGAGGGGAGGCGAGCGCTCACCTGTCGGCGGGCGAGAGGAAGCGGGCGGCGGCGGGGCTGAGCACCAGGCCCCCGAAGCGCTGCCCCAGGCGGAGCGTCCGCACCAGCCCCTTCCGCGCCAGCCGCCGCCCGGTGCACCGCCGCCGGTCGCACTGGCCCAGGTCCCACATGGCCAGCGGGCACCGGCGGCGCTGCGTTCCGGCCGCGGCCCTCGCCTCTTCTTCGCCGCCGCCTTCGCCATCCTCCAAGGAGCCTGCGGAGAAAAGGAGGCGCGTCAGGGGGAGTTAGGAGCCCGCCGCAAAGCCCGACCCGCCGCCCCGCCGCCCGCTCACCCACCGCCCAGCTCCTCCGCGAAGGTCTCCAGGCATCGCTCCCTGCCCGGCCGCCTCGGCCCCCGCCGCCGCCGCCCCCGGCCCATTTCCGGCACTTTCGCTTCCGGGTCCGGCTAATGGCTCCGCCCACCGTCAGCCAATCGCGGGGGAGCGGCACCGGAAGAGAACGCGCTGCGGTTTCCGGAGGCGGAAAGATGGCGGCCTGGGGCCCCGCGGGGGAGAGGCGGCGGCCGCTCCGGCTCCCCCGGCCGCTTCCTCTGCTGCTGCCGCTGCTGCTGGCGGGAGGTGAGGAGATGCCCGTCCTGCCTTCCAGGCGCTGCCGGGGCCTCCGCCGTGGCTGCCCGTCTCTCTCGCCCTCTCTCTCGCCCTTTTCCAGGACTCGCGGCCGCCGGGAAGATGAAGGTGGTGGAGGAGCCCAACAGCTTCGGGTGAGGCGGCGGCGGCGGCGGCGGCGGGCAGGGCGGCCCTCGGCCTTGCGGGCTGGGGCGGCGCTTGGTCCTCGCCCCCGCGGTTCTGAAGGCTTCTCTTTCTGTCTCCCCTCCCCCGAGAAGGCTGAACAACCCCTTCCTGCCTCCTTCCAACCGGCTCCAGCCCAAAGCGGCGCCCTCCCCGGTCTCAGGTGAGCCAGGCAGGGGAGGGTCCCGAGCTGCAGGGTCACTTCGAGCCCGGCCTTTTGCGGAATCCCTGATGGGTTTTAAACCGCTTCCTTCTCCAGGGCCCGAGCATCTTCTTAGGCTGGCGGGCAGGTGCTTCGGTTACGTGGAATCTACGTAAGTAAGACTTTAGCTGGAGGTGCGTTTTAAAAACCTTCTAAAAACTGGAGATAAATCTCTGGCTTGTTTGAAATTCCAGGTATAAATACGAGTTCTGCCCATTTTATAACGTCACCCAACACGAGCAAACGTTCCGGTGGAATGCCTACAGCGGGATTCTCGGGTAAGCAAGGATCCAGCTCCACAGCCCCGTCTCTGCCCTGTTGTCTGTCTCAGGCAGAAGGTCTCCAAATGTGGCAGCTTTAAGACTTGTGGACTTCAACTCCCAGAATTCCTGAGCTGACATTGACTGGAGGAGGAATTCTGGGAATTGAAGTCCACAAGTCTTAAAGCTGCCACGTTTGAAGACCCCTGGTTTAAAGGGATGCTTAAAATTCCCAGTTTGATGATGATATATGATAAGATAGAAACATTGCATGGAAACGATGCAGAATAACACCATAACTTCTACATTTCCTAAGCATGTTCTACAGTTTCATCTCATGTAAGTTTGCTACCTGTAAAAGAGTACTTAGTTTTATAATGAGGCTGAGGAGAGGTGATAGTTTTAAGACTATGAAATTGATCAATAGCTAACAGCTATCTTTTTTTTCCAGCTTAAGAATGAATATAGGTATGTGTGGCTTCTCCTAAAGAGGATAAATTAAAGCTACTGGTTGATGTGTTACCTTGTTAATTACCAAACATGTACTCATTGCTCATTTAGGTATCCAGAGCCCATTTGATTTAATTAAAGCAAACCTGAATTAAGTTATATTACTAAAGGTCTGTCATTTTTGGAAAGGGGGCAGGTTTCAACCTATTCTGCAAAGCACCTGAAACCAGGAAATGGAGCAATGAATGGATGGAAACTAACCAAGGAGAGAAGCAACTTAGAACTAAGGAGGAATTTCCTGACAGCTAGTCAGTGTTATAGCTTGCCTTTAGAAATTGTGGGTGCTCCATCACTGGAGGCTTTTTAAAGAAGGGATTGGACAACCCATTTTTCTGAAATGGTATAGAGTTCTGTTTGAACAGAGGTTGGACTAGAAAGACCTCCAAGATCCCTTCCAACTGTGTTGTTCTGTTTTGTATAATCAGTCATTTTTAGGGATGTAATTCATGGGGTTGTGTAATGTAACCAACTACCAAAGCACTCAAGTGGAAGTGAGGGGTAGGAATTGTGGAGGGAAGACAGTTTTTGCAAATACAGTTGCAGCTACAAATGGCAAAAGGTTGTTTGGAAAAAGTCCATTAGAAAGCCAGGGCTGAAGACATGTTTTAAAACAGTACCGGATGAAAATTATTTAAGCCCACCAATTATTATATCATCTTTGGGGCAAATGAGCCTGAAAACAATATCAAGAGACTATGAGGAGCTATGCATGGAAGCCAAAGAGATAGGAGCGCAGGTAGTGTTTTCATCTGTACTTCTGACAGAAGGTCAACAGCCAATTAGGGAATGGAGGATTCTAGAAGTAAATCCCCTGGCTTAAGGGATGGTGCTGTCAAAAGAAATTTGAATTTCTAGACTTCCCTTCTTTTCTCTCTTCAGGAGAACTATCCATTTTAAGGACTTTGCACAGTAAAGTGCATTGCTAATTTTCATAACAGCGAGAAGATGTTTTGTGCTCCTTGAACTAAGGGGAGATTAATCAGACAAATCTAAGTTGCAAGTCAATTTGGCCCATTACTATTTACATCCCTAAATTCAATATTTCTACAGTATGACTTCATATAAATGAAATGGAGAAGCATCAAATGTCAAATGCACTTCACTTCTGGTTCTTGGATTAATGCTATATTTTCCTGCTCTGGGTACTATATAAGATAAACACTGCAAGACTCTTTGCAGATACAAAGAGTAGCTCTTATTAGTATTCCTTTCTAAAATCAGCATCTATGAGTGGAAGTAAACCTGCTAAAATGATACAATTGTTTTTTAGTATCAAAAGCTGCTGAGAGATCCAGATGAATAAACAAAGGCTTGATCCTGATTCACCCCCTAGTAAAAGGATGATCTAAGCAGACTATTCTAAAATTGGGCTTGAAATCAAACTGCCAGTGGCCTTTGAAATATCTGAAGTATATTATTCTAATTTCCTAGAATCTGGCATGAATGGGAAATTGAAAACAACACTTTTGTTGGTATGTGGATGAGAGAAGGAGATTCTTGCGGAACAAAAAATAGAGAAACAAAGGTAAAGAATTGGACATAATAAAGAAGCTAACATATTTTTCCATTCTAGATTATTTATTTGATTTGTATCCTGCCTTTTACAAGCAATTTAAGCAGCATATTACTGTCACCACCTGGTATTTTTTCTTGTAATAATCCTGTGAAGGTAAGGTGAGCTGAGAATAGAACTAGCCGAGAGTTACCCAATGAGCTTCTGCAGCTGAGAATGGACTAGATTCTGAGCCTGCTTGCTCCTAGTTCAATACTTCATATTTCACTTCATATTTCAACAAATATTATTTTGTATAAGAGTTAGTTATACTTTATTTATTTAGGATGTAAATATATTATTCATCACTGAATAAGTTTGCAACAGCTTAGCTGTAATACATAGAATGTTTCTCCTTATCTGTCAAATATTCATTGAGCAGATTATATTAGGTCTCTCTTTACTGGTATGTGATTTAGGGGAATTGGTTAAATTTATGAATTCTGTTTGTAAGTTCTCAAATCTCTGCTTTACAGGTACTTCTTGTATGCGGAAAAAACAATAGATTGGCTCAAGTATCTGAACCAAGCACTTGTGTTTATTCTCTTACATTTGAAACTCCACTTGTTTGTCACCCACATTCTCTTTTAGGTGAGAAAATAATTCCTTCTTTGGATTAAAAGCAGAAAACTGAAATGATGCAATTTATATTGCAATCTTGACATTGTATATGTTCAATAAGTCCATTACATCAAACTATTTTTTGTTCCCAAACATTTCTTGCTGTGTCATGATCCCAAGAACTAAGGGTTAGCCTTGCTTTTTGATACAAAGTTTTCTAACAAGTCCCCTGGCCCTGCTAAGCTGATGGCAACTGTAGACTTGGTTGGCACCCAGAGTTGCCCCTTTTCACCAGAAAGGGGTGAAGATTGTTGTAAGATCCATGCTGATTTATCTTGGTCAAAGCCCATTTCAAGAGTCTGGAAACCAGGCTTTGGGAGGAAGGGTGCTGTCTGGTTTTCCTAAATAAAAGACAGTTGAGGACTATCATTTTTATAATAGCTCCCACTTAGAAAAAGAAAACAAACAAAAATGGCCCCAGATTGATTAGAAACTGTTCTAATGTGGCCTCTAATGTGGCCCCTTGACATGATAAGCCAGAGTTTGGTGCATCTTCTTTGCCCCTTTAAGTCACTAGTGACATTCCCTCACTGACTGCTGCCCTGTATCGCTGGGCTGAAAGCAGAGGAGACCTTGGAGTGTTCTCTTCCTCTGGGCCCTGGCAGAACTTCGGGCAGGAGGCTTTCGGATAGGCCTTTTATGGCTCGAACCAGCTTTTGACCACTAACATGAGTTGCTCGCTCTTGGGGTTTTTTTCCCTTGTTTTAAGCTGCAGAATTAAATGGGGTCAAATCAGTGTTTTATTGAGGAGAATTTCTTCCAGAACCTATGACTAGTTGAGTATCAATGATTCTTTCTGAGTGCTCATAATAAAGATTCCTGGACAGTTGAGGTGCTAATAACTGTGGTGGTGGCCAATAGATACTTTATACATAATTTACTGTTTACTGTAATAAAGTAGAAGTAGCAATAATGTTTAGCAATGCTAAACAATAAGGACATTTTTAGTGACAGCAATTAAAACAATTTTAATAATTATATAATAGCAAGCACAGAATTGATTCCAATAAAGCAATAGCAATCGCACGTAGACTTATATACTGCTTCACAGTGCTTTCCATCCCTCTCTATGCGGTCTGCCTATTGGCCCCCAACAATCTGGGTCCTCATTTTACCCACCTGGGAAGGACGGAAGGTGGAGTCCACCTGGAGCCTGGTGGGATTCAAACTGCCAAATTGCAGGCAGCCGACAGTCAGCAGAAGGAGCCTGCAGGACTGCACTCAAACCACTGCATCACCACGGCTCGTAAAGGAGAATATTTGTAGCTCAGTAATAAGGGTTCCTTGGTTTTCAGATTTTCTATACATTTTTTCTAATTTTAATTATTTTTAAAGTTTTTATTAGACTGTAAGTTGTGCAGAGTTGCTGTATCAGCAACATGAGCAGCATAGAAATGTAATAAAATTCCATTTACAGTGTTAGCTCTGTACTCATTAATTGGTTCCACAATTAATTGTGTGTGTGCTTTCAAGTCAGTATGGAGAAGATTCCTCTTCTCCCCAAACATCTTGGTTTTCACTCATTCATGTTCTCTCAGCCAGCAAGGATGTGGCTGACAGCAGTATTTAATAGCAGCAAACGAATGGTGAAAGTGCCTGCATTGTAATCCTCTGCCTCTCTGAACTTAATCTTTGGGGAAAGGTAGTTCAGAGAGAACTCAAAGTACGATCATGTTTTCCTCTACAGTCTATCCAACCTTGCCTGAAGCTCTTCAGAGAAAGTGGGATGAAGTTGAGCAGTTGCTTTATGATGAGTTAATTACAAAACAGGTGGGTGTGTTTTTTGTCATATCCATGTGGGGGACAAATAGTCAAGAACAGCTTTATCAGGTTCACTGACTTATCTGTGTGGGGGACAAATAGTATTATAAAAGGGGGAGCTGCAATTTCCTTGATGATAATGTGAGCCTGGTCTTCTACTGACTGCCAACCCCTCTTTTGTGTTAATTTACCAGTCCAGCCTTAAACTTTCGGATTCTTTGTTGTATCCATCCAGATTTAGCCCTCTTCAGCTTCTGACTTTTAAAAATAAGTAAAGATGGATTAATAAATTCTGTGACTCTCATATTGAGCAATATATACAGCATATGTGTGAGTGGCTGGGTGTACACACACACACACACACACACACAGAGTATGTATTGCCTCAACTTGTTTAATGTAAGCCGTAGAGGCCTGGATTAAGTGCACTGAAATCCCTGGGAACTAACTGTTTGAGTTGTTAAGCGTTGTTGGAGAAAGTCGGATTGAACCCAACAAATACGAATAATAACTCATATTTGGGCTTCCATAAGGCCAGTAAAATGCTGCTATTTCTACACCCCCCTTGTGTGTGCTGATGACACCCAGCTGCCTTGTTTATAGTGACTTATTGGCTGTTGTGGGAGGGGCGCTTGGGATGGTATGTGAAAAAGATATTCCCAGATGGGGCAGAGAGACAGACATGGGGGTGTCTGTCTTCTGGGGGTGGCCAGAAAAGAGACAGTAGGTGGGGCAAGAGGCCTAGAGGAGACCCTGGTTTTGTGCTGGGGGTGCACTTGTGCTGCTTGTATGTGGTGATGCTGAATTGAGCAGGGAATGGGGGTCTGCATCTCGATTGTGCAGCCGAAGCCGCTCTATCGCTAAGATGCAAGGAGGCAGCTACGCCGCCAAGTGTTTGGAACTCTGTGTGATCTTTGCTTGTCCCCTGCATAGGAGCCCGGTGCTGCAACGTCAGCCTGCTCTTAGTGGCTGCCTGTCAAGTGTCTCAACTATCATTGGGCTTTCTAGAGAAAGTCGCTTTAGTTGCTGTACTGTTTCTATACTTGTGAAATGAGTGGCTGCCCCTGAGTCTACAAGAGCAGAAGGTTTCATCTTCTGCTTGGAATCTAAAGTAACCATAATAGGAGTAATTAAATAGGCTTGTTTGCTCCCAATGGTCTGATTAACAGAGTTGGAAGGGACCTTGTGGGTCATCTAGTCCAAGCAGGAGACCCTACACCATTTCTGACAGAGGACAATCCAGTCTCGGCTTGAAAGCCTCCAGGGATGAAGCTCCCTCAACTTCAGAAGGCAACTTCTGTTCCATGGGTTGATTGTTCTTATTGCCAGAAAATTTCTCCTTATTTCTAGGTTGAATCTCTCCTTGTTCAGTTCCCATCCATCATTCCTTGTCTGGCCTTGAGGTTCTTTGGAGAATAGCTTGACCCCTTCATCGCTGTGACAGCCCCTCAAATATTGGAACACTGCTATCCTGTCCTTCTCTTCACTAAACCAGCCATGCTGTTTTTTGGTGGGGTTTTTTGGCTGCCATCACACACTGCTGGCTCATATTTAACTGGTTGTCCACTAAGACTCCAAGATCCCTCTCAGAGTTACTGTTATTAAGCCTGGTTTTACCCAGTCTATATGTATCCTTTTGGTTTTTCTTGCCTAAGTGTAGGACTTTACTTTTCTCTACACTGAATTTCATTTTGTTAGATAGTGTTCAAGTCTATCAAGATCCATCTGGACCTTGAGCCTGTCTTCCAGGGTGTTAGCTATTCCTGCCACGTGCTCCCTTGATTCACAGGTTCTTCCTTTCATTGCTGTGTCAATTTTTTGCATTTTCACTAGTCACTTCACTAGCTAAGTGTCCAGAGGCTCCCTGGTAAAAGCACCGATCCCTCCTTTTCTGCTTCTCTCCTGATGACAGGGGTCTCTTGGCTGCTCCTACTTGCAGGCTTACCCCAAGAGAGCCACTGGCAGGAGTGGGATGGGGAATCTGGGCTGCAGGTTCTTCTCCCCTTCCTGGCCTGAACTCTTCCACTTGGGCCTCCATTGTTCCACAGAAGAGCTGACACAGAAGAGCTCTTTCAGGGTGTTGGCCTCCTTTCTGGCTCCTCTCCTTAGATCCTTGGCCAATCCTCCCAACTGCCTCCTCTACCGCCTGTTGGACAGTTGCTCGGGCCCCCTTGCAGAGCTCCCTGCATGGAGCGAGCCTCGAAACCACCTGGAAGCGAAGGTTGGCTCGCCGTTTAGCAGTGTTGAAAGGAAGAGGCACTTAAGACTTATGCCGTGCTGCATGAACTGCCTCGTCTGCCAATTGGCCAATTCAAGTTGCTCGTCATCACCATGAAGCCCTTCGGGGAACAGGGCCTGGCTCCCCGTGGGGCTCCCTGCCTCCGCCTGGTGTTTTCCAGGGGAATGGCAGTGCTCTCGATTAAACGTTGGCACCGTGTGGGACCAAGGAAGCCTGCCTTCTTGGTCCTGTAATGGGGTGTGGTGGGAGTGGCCTGGGCAGATGGGGAAGGGCCACAGCCAGGGAGCACTCGGATAAGAAGAGGCCGCTTAGCCCACAGCGGGAACATGGCAGGACCCAGGTCTCCCTGGTTTCTTGGGCTGGTTTCTTGGAGGAGGAATAGCCTTTCTGACTTGCAAGACTCCGTTAATGTAACTGCACATTATAGTAGAGTTAATTCACCTGGATAACCTCACCAGGCTGATAGTCGCGGCCTCTGGAACAGCCCCGCCCAGAGAGAGATACGGCACCCACTCTCTTGGGGTTCAGGGTCGAGATTGGTGGGGAGCCCCTGATGTGTTTTTCATTGCTGTGGTGGTTTTTCGCCCCCGATGGGGTCTGTTACGTTTTTAATATTTTAAAATTGTATTTGGATATTGTAAGCCACGGAGACTCCTCTGGAGTGGCACAAAGTATGGAGAAGGACTTAAAAGTGTACGTATTTTGCTTTACAAATAGTATCCCTTTTCCATCTTAATACCCAATTATTTGCAACAGAAGTTAGACTTATGATGTAATGAGGAGCATTGATCTGAAAATTTATGTTTTCAAACACCAAGGTAATTTTTGTGTTTGACAGGGGAAATGGAATAAAACAATGCATGACAACGTAAGTTGCAGGCATAAAACCTAAAAAATTGCAAACCTAAAACATAAAAAGTCCCAGTTGAATGCTTCAATCCCTCAATCCTAACTATTAACTTTAAGCCATTGCCTTCTTCCAGAATGTTCTTTTCTTTAAAAAAAGAAAAAAACCCTTAACAATCTAGCCTATAAACCTGGGATTTCTAGATAGTCTCCATCTGACCAGCCTTTCAAAATGAAAAATTAAAGTAACTATTACTTTTGTTTTCAGGGATACAAGAAAAGGTTGAGAGAACTGTTTGAAGAAGGCTCCCTTTTGAAATCAACAAGAGACAAAAAAGAGAAGGACACTCAACTTCGACCTTTGGAATTTGACTCCGTAGAAAAGTGCAGCAAGGTACAGGATCTCTTCGAACTGTCCCCTGTGGGGGGACTGGGTCCTGCCCCCTTCCTGTTTCAGGTGCAGTTATTGTAGGCCGTCCGATTAATCCATGTAGGTCATCAGTGGAAATGGTCCAATTGAAAGTTGTCCGGCTAAGGCCCAGGACTGCCTTGCTGAGGATGTCTGAATTCAAGATAATCTTCTTTGAAAAATAAGGCAGACAGTTTTTTTGAATTCACAGCCTCTTCACTTTACTGTTTCGTATCTCTTGGACTTTGTATAAATCTGTTCTGTTTTTGTGGTAAAATCAATGTGAAGTTATTCTCGTTTTTTTCCCCTAGGAGTATAAGCGACTTTCTAACGATCTGCAGAAATTGTCAGATTTACTAACCCAGCATGGAATTGCATATGAAACCGTCCTATGTAAGTTTGTGAAATAATTTCCCTTCTGAAGAAACGCCTCGCTTAATGACTACCACATTTAGCCATTGTCCGCTTAACAACAGCACTGAAAAAGTCACTTTGCGACTGGTCCTCCCCACAGTCCTGTGATTGAGATTCAGGATCCCGCAGCTGCCTTTTGCCTGCTTCACAGCTGGTTTCCAACAAGCAAAGTTAATGCAGAAGCCAGGGGTAAAATAGCAAGTCAGGGTCCTGTGCTGTCTCACTTAACGAGCCACAGGGACTCTCTTAATGACTGTGGGATAAATGAGGTTGTAGGTCCGTCCGTGGCGTATGATAGTATCTTACTATCTATATCACTTAGTGACAATTTCCAATCCCAGTCATGGTCGTTAAGTGAGGATTACCTGTACTAATAAAGCAGTGATAAATTTCATTTTCCAAAACCAGGAAAATTCAGTGGAACAAAATATCAGCTAGAATTTTGGAAGTCTTAAAATTATGTCATGTTGGTTCAAGCACTAGAAATCTGAAATTTAAATTTGATGCTGTAATTGAAGTTAGTTGTAGAGCTGGAAGGGACCATGAAAATCAGTTCAGCCTTCTGCAATGTGAAGGAAATGTATTTATTCTACTTCTTCTTAAAACTTTCTAAAGATGGAAAACCCATAAACCATAAGCACCCACCACTTCCATTGTTGTATAGGACATTTTTCCTTATACCTAAATGAAATCCAGGTCACTGCAATTTATATCCACAATTTCTGGTTTCAGTTTCTATGGTTGATGGGACAAGAGTTCTTTGTAAAATAGTAATTTTAGTAAAGATTATGACGAGTACAATAAAATAGAAAAAAAAAAAAGATGTAGAAAGGGCAGTAAAGAAAGGAAAAGGGGAAATAGAAAAGAAAGGAAAATAAGAAAATAAGATATGCCTGTGGCATATCATAGATGGCACTAGCAGGAGATACCAACATTTCACCTAAATTAGTATCACACAATAAAATGTACATGTTAAAAAGATCTGTGTTCAAATCCCAATGCCTAGGCCATCTAGGCCTTGAGGCAGGAGTATTAGATACGCTCAACGCACTTGAGATATGTTCCTTTAAAAGGCAGGATAAAAAGCTAACACTAATAAAGTCATGATAGTAGCTTCCACGTGTTGAGTAAGCAGTGAGCCTGCCGTCTCCTTTGCCTTCTGGTAGAGTTGAAGAAATTCTCGCTGGATTTTGCTTCTCTTGCTTGCCTGGTTTGTTTCCCACTTTTCCTTTCCTGTTTGAGGTGAAGCATCGGGTCCCCCCGGAGTCTCCCTGAAGAGGGAGCTGCCTTTTCAGGTTTATGGGTTTTCCCCTTTAGGCACCTCCTGATTATCTTCTTCACTGCTATTGCTTGAGGCCATGCTGTCTTTACTTGACTTTTTAACCAGCCTCAGCTGACCCAAACAGACTTTTTACCACAATTAACTTGGACTTTTTTTGCAACTTTGTTTTATTTTTAAACAAGTTAAGATACAAGTGCCACAATTTTTTTAAACAGAAACAAACACAAAACCAACCACATTTTCAAAGGTGCTGACACTTTTCCCTAGAATTCTGAAGAGCTGCTGCTAATCAGAAGGGGTACAGATGAATGGCTGTGCGGAGGAAGTATTTCTAGCCTCGCAAAGAGGAGGACTGGGGTGACCTGATAGCAGTCTTCCAACACTTGAGGACCTGCCACAGAGAAGAGGGGATGGACCTCTTCTCCATAGAAGCAGAGGGCAGGCAGAAGAAGAGGAGGAGGACAACGGAACCGCTTGCCTTCAGCGGTCGTGGGAGCTCCGTCACTCATCCCCGGAGGCGTTTAAGGACAGCCGTGTCTGGAAGGCATACGGTCTGCTGCTTGAGCAGGGTCCAGATCCCCTTTCAACTCTGCCAGTATTCTATGACTTCTAAGATCGATTGTCATTGTATAAAGTAAATAGTTTTTTCCCCCTATCTTCTAGTTGGAAACGGAGATGGCAACCATACTACGCAAGCACTCGGGATAAAGAAGTCAGATCTTAGCACGATTTCAAATGCTAACAAGCATGGAGATGCTGAACCTCGGTACAATGCCTCATGAGAAAATGGTCATCTTCTCCCAGCTGCGGTAAAGTATTTCCATCCACATACAAGTTTTAATAATTTGATAGAAGACCCAACAATATTATTTTCTTCAAACCAGCATTTATTCAGTTCTATCCATTTGGAATTCTTTTCATTATTGTGCCGGGAGGAAAATGGGGAGATCAGTCATTGCATTCTACACGGGCAACTTCCTTAAACCGTCTTCTTTCCCTCCCTGTAACAGAGCACCTCGGGTGTGGGGCGAGGACGGCAAACCATGGCTTGACCCCATTCCTTTGTGGAGAACCACAACTAGAGCCCCATCCAGGCCCCATACGAGAACAGCAAGAGCAGGATTGAGAGTCTCACGTGCTCAACTCACACACTGGTGCTGCAGTGGCCCTTCTTTTCTCAGTGGGAGTCTTGGACCTTTGAATAAAATTACAGAGTTATAACAATAGTGTACCTTCTGTGCCTGTTGCTGACTTTCCTTCTGGACCAGGAGAAAGAGATTTGCTAGTATTCATTTTGTGTAAAACTACTTCAAGTTTTAATCTGAATTGCTAACATGGTTTCATATACCAAAATGTTTCTTGACTGGATCCTGCTTTGATGTAGAGAAATGTTGGTGTTGCCAGCTCTGGAAGGTCATAATAAAGCTCCTTGTGCTGAGATGGAAGGAGTTGGAATCAATGCTGTCAGCTTCTAGGATGACATGGTCTCTGCCAGAGGCTCCCAACTCCCGGACCGAGACAGGTCTGTGGCTTGTTAGGAACCAGGCTGCACAGCTGGAGATGAGGGACAGACAAGGGAAGCTTCACCCCTGTATTTGCAACCACTCCCCAGCGCCCGCATCACTGCCTCCGCTCATCAGGCTCTCATAGGAGCGCAAACCCTACTGTATGTAAACTCTGCATGGGAGGGATGTCGGTTGCGCACTCCTCCCCACCCACAGGTCTGTGGGGGAAAAAAATAGATGGATGGAAGAGGTTGGAATGCGGGGGAAAGGAGGGCGGAGTGGGGGCCAAGCCAATGAATGCATCAGTCAAGCAGAAGGCCAGCCTAAACCAGCCGAGAACTTCTAATTGGACACTGACTGATAACGAGGCTGGCCAGGGCAGAACGTTGATGGCATCTTTTGTGCCGAGCAGGCAGGTGCCACTTCGCTCCTCCTGCTTTCAGTGAAGTACGTACTCTTGGGAAAGCAATGAGCCAGGAGTCTTTCCTCCTCATTAAGTGGGATGGGCGACATTAAGCGGAACCTGCCCGGAGAACAGCTTCTACCAAGGTTATGCAAACGATGCCCGCCCACTGAAGGACGTCGGGGGGAGCCAGGATAGGGAGCCTCCCGGGACCAGGGTGGGGAAGCCCCATCAGTCACATCTTGAGGACCCCGGGTGTTTAAGAGGGCTGGGAACCAAACCTTTGTCCCAACTGTGCTGGAAATAGCTTTGTGTGTGATCCAGGGAACCCTCAATTCTGGCAACCACTCAAATCCCACCCCACCCCTCCCCCTTCACAGGGCTGCATTTTGGGCGCTGAGCAACCAGCCTGCATTTATGGCCATCCGCAGCGTCCCCCAATCACGTGGCTGCGATGTGCAGTTTGATGAAAATAGGTGTTTGCTCTTCTGGTTTGGGCCCAAAGTGCCCCACAGTGGACAACGGACCGTGGAATGAGGTCAGTCACATGACGGCCCTCTTTACAACTTCACAACTTGTTTGGGCTAAAGAGCCGTTTGTCTGAGATAATCTGGGGGTTCCCCTTTCCAACCCCCAGGATTTTGATCATTTGGACAAGGAAACAAGGAGAACCAGGCAGGGCCTCGCTGCCGATGGGACAAGAGCCGTAACGGGCACAAAGGGAGACCGATACCGGCAGCCAGGACCCCCCTCTCCCCCTGGTGCCACCAACAGCTTAACTTCCCCTCCCCCAACCGGCCCCTGCATTGAAGGAAAGCTAAGAGACAAGAAAAGCAAGAGAGCTGGAGGAGGTTTTATTGCTGGCCCCAAATCTCCCCCTTTGGGGAAAAGCATCAGACCTTTTCCAGTGAGCGTTTATCGGGAGACAAAGGCCGCCTGAGGCCGGGAAGGGCCTCTGGCCACACAAGCAGAACCTCCAACCACTGGACTCCGGAGACAACCCATTTCCCGCTGGCCCGGAAGCCTGTTGAAAAGGGAGCTGCTGACGATGCAGGTTTTGCTCTCCACCACCCTTGGGAGAGATTTCAGGCCCCAAGGCCTCCTGGAGCTTGGCTTCAAGCCCACCTGCACCTGCCCACCTGTTGGCTTTCCTCTGGAGACCAGGGGATCCCCAGCTCCCGCAAGACCAAACCCTCCGCAGGAGTCACAAATCACCCCCACGGGAGGAAGTGCACCGCAGGCACATTTCATGGACCTCCACCAGGACACCGGGGGCCTCGGGGACACGAACGTCAGGTTGCTGAGTTTCCTTCTGCCATTTCAAGCCAACCATCATAAGCCTGAGCGGTGCCTTCCTTCACTTTAAAAAGCTTAAATTACAGAACTGGTGGTTGGAAGAACCCAGCAAAGTTGTGCGTCAGGCCAGCAGCCTTCAAGGGAGCACAGAGCTGCAACTTCGGCTCGTTTGCCTGAGAAGAGGCCGAAGTGGCTGCAGTTGGAGGCTGGAGCAGGGCAGCCTTGGCCCTACACGAACTCTGTGAAGTCGTCCACGGAGGAGATCAAGCGCTTCCTCTGCCCAGTCTCGTAGGTGGGGGCCGGGTCCTGGGGGACGCGGGCGGAGGCTTTCGCAGGGACCGGAGGGTGCACGCTGGGGAAGCCAGCCTCTTGGAACTGGGTTTCTTCTCGGATCTGGAAGAAAGAGGTGCTGGTTGCAAAGGCACGGTCTCCATGGCAGCAGCCCCTGCCCAGGCAGCTCCCCCCAAAGACCCGGCTGCTGCCCCACACCGGCTGGACTAGCCTGGTCTGTATGGCTCAGGCGCACGGTTCGCACGTAAGGTTGGGTTTGCTCTCTGCATGCCAACCAGAGTCCCTGGCGCCAGATGGGCAGCCATAGAAATTATTTAAGTCAAGCCATCCACACTCCAAAGGCCTCTGCCTCCCACACAAGAGGTGCAAGTTGGGTGGCTGTTCAGGGCAGTATCTGAGCTGCCACGGTTTGGGCTAAAAGCGAGCTGAAGTTCAGGATGGTGTTGCAGGAGGTGTGGAAAGTCTGCTCCTCCCAGGACAGGTTTGCCTTTTTTGTGGGGATACAAGACTCCGCGGCTCCTCTGCCTGCTTCAAACATCGGCGGCTTTATGGGGGCCCCTCCCTTACCCTGTGCCGGAGCCGCTTGATGTGGCGCAGCCGAGCGATCCACTTGGAGGGATAGGTGTCGGTGGGGTTGGAGCGGCTGTGATGCACCAGGGACGCCATCTGAGGAGGGAGGGAGGGAGGAAGCACACCTGAACGGAGAGCCCCTCCTGACTGCATCCTGGAGGCGCAGGCAGGCCCTGGCCCAGGGAGCCAAGCTGGAGCTGCTCCGCAGGGAGAGCCGGACTCTGCGGGGTCAGCTGCCACAGGAACTTCGCTTCGAGGGCTCCCCCAGGTCTGGAAGGGGCTCCGGCTCCTGGCAGCAGATCTTGTGCTCAGGGCAACCCTAAAGTCTCCCTCGCCTTCCCCGCCAGAGGGTCCCTGTGCTTCTTTGGAAGCTCTAGAGGGCAGGGGGGGGGAGGCCTTGAGGGACAGGAGGAAGAGGAGCTGCCACCGCAACGGCCACACAAGAGAGGCCTGGGCCAGGAAAGGAGAGGGGGGGAGGGAAGCCCATTCAGACGTGGTTTTTTTAGTAAAAGTCGTCTTGAGCTACACAGCCTCCGTTTCTGAGCCTGCTCTACCCTGTAGGGCCGGCAGAAGGGGAAGTACCCTCCCACCCAAAGGAGACTTACGTTGGCATGCAGCGCCATCTGTCGGGCAACAAAGGAAAGGTTTTTGTCTGAGACGATCTTCAGCACACTTGTGTCAATCAGCCCCTCCATATCTGGGATGGCAGGGAGAGAGGAGATGGCAGGGTGAGAGCAGAAACCAAACCCGCTCGACCCTCCAGCATTCACTACATTCCAGTCAACCAGCACCCATTCTTGGGTCCCTGTACGAGGCCCAGAGCCTTTGCAACACCCCCCCCCCCCACACACACACCACCTTTTGCCAAGTTGGAGGAAGGGAGGGAGGCTGGCCATACCCTTACGGCACTGTAGAGTAAGCAGGTTGCAGTCATAATCCAGTGGTTTGATGATGACATGAACAAAGTTGAACTGGCCCTGGAAAGGCAAAGCAGAATCGACACGGAGGAACCAGCCTTAAGGAGGACCACAAAACTTTGGTCTCTTCTACCTGAGCAGCCATCCCTTCCGTGTCGGGGCAGCCTGCTTGGGAAAGCGATTCAGAACCCCGAGTGGGGAGAGTCCAAAGGGAAAACTCCCCCAGGGACACAGTCACTGACCTCGCTCTTCGTGCCGAAGAGCCGTGACGGGCTCGGGGTCTTGCTTGCTTCTCAGCCCAGAACAGCAGAGGCAACCTGCGGGCTCCCCTCTTCATCCCCTCCCGCCCATCGACGGGCAGAAAGCCCCACCCAGAGGCGAGCCAATCGGAAAGCCACCAGCTGCCCAGGTCCAATCAGGGCCTTCCTCCTTACCTTGATGGTCCCCAGTTTGAAGTCTTCCCCGGAATCATTGTAAATTATGGACACAAAGTCATTCCCCAAATGTCGTTTCTTGTCACAGCAATTTTTATCCAAATCTTTGGTGGGCATCAAAGTGGCAATATGGAAAATAGCTATAAAAACAAGAAGGGAGGAAAATGGCTGCAGACAGTTCAGGCCTCAAGCGGCAGAAGAGATCACGCCTTGGGCAGCCCAACTTCAAACAAGGCGTTTAGGCAGCTCGCTGGATGGAGAGCAGCCGCCTCACTCCAGGAGCCAAACTCCACGCTTGGAGAAAAGGACTGGGTGCCACTAGAGGCTGAGAACTGGGGAAGGGCTTCGCTCAACCAAGGATCTTTCTGAGCTGATCAGAAGGGAAAGCGAGAGTTTGAACTCAGAACCTCCCCAACCATCTCAAGGTCCAGTCACCCAACAAGCCTCAGGCTCCAAAGGGTTCCTCAGCTGGGGCATTCATGCCAGCTGAAGGTGGATGCTAACATCTGTCTGGCAACTCGCAGGCTGGAGCATGGCATGAAGGGGCATTACGGGGGCCGGTCCCCTTCGGGAGGGAATTGTTATGCTGCCGCTTCACTGCCTCGACTCCCACATCAGTTCGGTTACACCCGGCAAGGACTGAATCCCAGAACCTGAAGAGCCCAACGGCCCTGCGGGCTTCCAAATAGCTCCGGGGGGGGGGGGGGGGGGGCGGGAAGCTGCCTCCATCGCCTCCCATACCTTGCATGATGTCGTCATGCCAGCAGTAGGTGAACTGCCCGTCCTCTCCACACACGTCCAGGCCGCCCAGGTACACCTTGTCTGGCTGGCAGTCCTTGAGCTCAATGAGTTTGCCCAGGCCGGTCAGGAACTCCGTGTACCTGTAGGAGCCGTGCTCATTGGACAGGATGGCAGGCTCGTTGCTGCTCTGCAGGACGAGGAGGAAAGCAGGCGCTCAGAGGAACCCCAGGCCACCCCCAGGGCTCCCTTCTTCAGTCTTTACTTCTGAACCCCCCCCCCCAAG